TGTGTGTGTGTGTGTGTGTGTGTGTGTGGGTGTGATGGAGTGTGGGAAGAGACGGTCTGTTTGGCTATTCAATCACGATTTTGTATTAAAGTGTGTAATTTACGTATTTTGAATTGTTTTCCATCATTTTGAAACTATGTCTTCAGTTTTAAATGATACAGTTACTTTAGCCTCATGGAATGTGAGGGGCCTGGGGAATAATACAAAATGTGGGAAGGTATTTTCTTATTTAAATTCATTGAAAGCGGATATTTTGTTTTTGCAAGAGACTCATACTATTAAAGATACAGAATATAAACTGAAGTCCGGCTGGGTCTCACAGGTCTACCACGCACCCTTTACAACTCGTGCAAGAGTGGTAGCAATTTTGTTTCGTAATAATATTCCTTTCATATTGAAATCCAAGTCTATAAATCCCAATTGGAGATTTATTTTAGTTTCTGGTCATATTAATTCAGTTCCAATCACATTGTTGAACATCTATGGCCCAAATTCAGATGATCCTGCTTTTTTTCGTTAGGTTTTTGATTTACTTCCAGAGGATGTTCACTCCAATATATGTATTGGTGGCGATTTTAATTGTTATTTGAATCCATCCCTAGACAGATCATCATCTAAAGTTCCCCCCAACTATTAATTCTGTTCAAACATTAAATAATCTGATCAAATCTAGAAATATGGTGGACATTTGGAGAATACAGCACCCTGACAAAAGGGAATATTCATTTTATTCTCACGTACATCAGTCATATACTCGAATTGATTAGTTTATTACTGAGGCCTGGTCATTTCCAAAGATTAGTAATACAAACTATCACAGCTTATTAATTTCTGATCATTGTCCAGTTACTTTGCAGCTTCAAGTATCTTTTTCTAAACCAAAATTTAAGTGGAGATTCAACCCTCTATTATTATCTTCCCCAGGTTTTAAGGAGTACATGAACAAAAATCTTACAGAGTTTTTGAAGATAAATGACAACGGAGAGGTTTCAGATTCCACTTTATGGGAAGCGCTTAAAGCTACCATGAGAGGACATATTATTATGTTTGAAACTTCGAAGAAAAAAGCTGTATCTAAACGGATGAAAGAAATTGAACAAGAAATTATTAATCTAGAACAAATACATAAGACCTCTTTACAGCAGTCTGACAACAAGATCTTGAAGCTTAAGTCAGAATATAATTCCGCCCTTGGTAGGGAAATTAGTAGTCTTTTACTAAAGACCAGGCAAAAACATTTTGAACTGAATGATAACCCCCAAAAGTTACTTTCAAGACAACTTAAAGGGGATCAAGCCAAGACTGCTGTTTATAAAATACAGTCCAAAGCTGGACAGATCCTTACAGATCAACAGGAAATTAACAATGTATTTAAAGACTTTTATTCCAGCCTGTACGCCTCTACCTCTACAGCAACTAAGACAGATTATGCACAATTTTTCAGTTCGCTATCTTTGCCACAGTTAAATGACAGCAATCAGCGCTCTTTGGAAAGAATGCTTTCAGTGGCGGAATTAGTTACGGCAATCAAGGCTTTTCCAACAGGTAAATGTCCAGGACCAGATGGCTTTGGAGCTGAATTTTATTTGGCATTCTATGAGATTTTAACACATCTGCTTCTCAGAATGTTCAATGAGTCGATGGTCAGCAAAACTCTTCCACCCTCTCTGTATGAGGCTAATGTATGTCTGCTATTAAAAAAAGGGAAAGATTCCACTGATCCCGCTAACTATAGGCCAATTTCTTTACTCAACTTTGATCATAAAATTTTGACAAAAGTATTGGCCACTAGATTAAATAAATGTATAGCAACAATCATTCATCCAGACGAAACTGTTTTTATTCCAGGCAGGCTTTCCTTTTTTAATGTG